GCTCTCCAACCTCGCCAATAGTGCTCAAGCTGAGACCTCCTCCGTCGGCATTCGTGCCTTCCTTTCCAGCATTATTTCGCAATGTTCGGTCGTGCAGCTCTGCTTGGTCCTCTTGTTTCTCCTCGGCCCACACATGAAGCTGTACGAGCAGCGCATCCGGTGGCTCGACGTACCGAAGACCAACCATCGCCTCGTTCAGCCCACGCCTTGCGAATTCGTCGCGCAGAACGATGCGCTCCTCTAAATCTTCAGGGCTGTTGGTGATGGCGTTGATAAGCACCATGGCCGACGTACGGTATTCCCACACGGCAGCTTCGTCTTCGTCTACCTCCTCGTTCGTGTCCTCGTGTGAGCTACTCGTCTCGCTATCCGCATCGGATGTTCGCGTTTTGGACACGTTCAAGCTTCCAACCAGGAACGCGAAGCGGAAGCGCTCGCCTGAAGCAATGGCCAGCTCAGACAGAGCAGCGCACACAAGCCGGTGACCGTCCGCCAAGCTTAGTACGCAAAGAGCACCGAGGACGTCGGCTATCTGAGACCTGAGCTTGTACGAGGGTGTTCGCAGAGCATACGCAATATACGTAATGAGCATCGCCTGCTGGAGGACTCTTTCAAATCCGAGCTGAAATTGAGAATGGACGCTGAGGTCAGTGTCTGGGGAGTGGGACTCGCCCATCATGCCCACTCACCTCTGTGTTCATCAATGTACGTAGGGACTTGATGCACTCGCCGATGATCACGTCGCTCATCTCTTGACGGTCCTGTCGCTTGTCGCCGAGACGGGCAGTAAGAAGTGGGCCAGTCTCGAGCCTCAGCAGATTTTCGAGCGCTTCAAGACCTCTCGCGTCCAAGAATCCAGCGATCCACGTCAGTTTCGCCGAGGACAACGTCACCCTCAGGCTGATGAGATGCTTGGCCAAGTCCTTGCGGTTCAGCTTGCCGCTGAGCAGCGCAGTGGAAAAGAAAGCAGGCGAGTAGCGCTCGGCCGCATGAGATGGTGCCGCACTGGCCCCAGCCGCAAGCGCCGAGGGATCTGCGGAAGTGAATGAGCTGACACCTCCACCCCACCAGCTGCTCCACAAACTTGCGCCATGTCCACTGCTGCCTGTGTGATGCGACTTGAGCGCGGCTTCTGCAGCACTGCTGGCTGCTTGGTATGCGCCCGAGCCTTGCTCTAGTATCCCGGCGCCGTCGTCCGTCATGACAGTCGAAGGTCGACTATCCGCGCTTTCTTGTCCGCCAGTCTGAGCAGTCGCTAAACTCGATCTCGGACTGGCGTTCTCCTCTCCGCCCCAGCCTGCAATGCTCGCAATACTGAATCGATTAGCCCAGCCTCCAGTGAGAGCTGTACTTGCTCTGCTCAGAGTATCGGCAAAGCCACCCGTTTCTGCACCAGTAGATTGGGGGGACAGAGGTCTAGCATGAGAGCCGCTCGCTGAGCGCGAGGGCGTCGAGGGCACTCCGTTGGCCGACCTGCTAGCCTCGTTCTGGCCGATCAAGAAGCGCTTGCGATCATCTGGCAAATCGAGCATTGCGGTTCTGCTGGACCCCTTCATTCCAAGGTCCGCCATCAAGCTTTCGAATCGTTTCGCCAATTCTTCTCCCGTCAGCTGAGCGTTGCCGTGCGCGAGCGGCGAGCCGGCAGCAGGAAGAGCTTGCGCAAGTGGTGAATGTCTAGACCCGACGCGCGGTGAATTTGGGGATCTCTCCAGCTCCAGCGGTCCGCTGACACTCATCACCTTCACTTCGCGACCCATTCCCCCACCACCTCCAATTGAGCGAGATCTTCCCGCGATGGCCGGAGTGGGTGTGCTCGGAAAGCCATTTGCATGTTCTTGAGTGGTCATTGGACTCGTTGGAGAGTCTGGCGCCGCTGCTCCCCAGCTATCAAACATTCGTGAGAGGCGTGCGGTCGCAGTGTGAGGCTGGCCTTTTCCTCGAGCTTTCGGCGACATCAGCGCATGCGCGGCAGCTTGTGACAAAGAGCCTTGCGCGTTCGCAGCTCCCTGGCGAGCTTCGCGATCAGCATTGGCCGCGGCAGCCATAGCCGCAGCCTCTCGTTCGGCTGACGTCAGTGTATGCGAGCCGTCATCGGTACTTTGCTGAAGATGATGCGGATTCACACCTTTCAAGGTGCCGCTCGCTTCTTCCTCGTCCTCCTCGATGATGCTCGTATCCGCGCTGAGTGCATCTAATCCTGGATCGCCAGTGCTTGGCCCAGCCGCCAATCCTGGGGCCGATATCTCTGAAGTTTGCTGAGCAGGCGCCGCTGCGCTTCGCCCAAGACTCGCAGCCCAAAGTCCCAGCATGCCAGGTTTAGTCTGGGGTCGAGTCTCAGGCAGGAAAGGCCGTGGCGGCGATTCGGAGCTTGGAGCTCTACGAGCATGCTTTTGAAATCCTTGCGCAACAGTGCCGAGGCGGCTGAGCCAAGTCGCCGAAATGGTAAAGAGCAGGCCGGGGTACTCCAAGGGGGGGCCCGGCATCGTCGCTAGAAGAGGCGGCAAAATGGTGTGCGCTGGCAGCGCAGCAGGAGGCGGCACGGGTGCAGGGGCAGAGGATGGCGAATCAGGCAAGCTGGCAAGACCGTATTCCACCCTCGCAGACTTGCTGCCTTGCAAAACGACTCTTCTGATACCCAACTCGTCGCATACCGCTTCGAGAAAGTCCGCAGCTGTTGAACCCACCCCCACGCTACCACTTTCGAGTGCGGGTGGCGCAGGCAAGAAGCACACCCTGCCGTCCCACCCATCGTAGATCTCTGGGACATGCGCGAATCGTATCCGGACGGCCAGTCCAGGTGCCCCGCACACCAGTCGAAGTCTGGGAGCGTGCAGATGCGACGAGAGCGCAAAGTCAGAAAAGCCGGAGCCAGCGACATTCGAGTCCAAGGTCCCCGCCAGTGCCTTTGATAGCGGAGCATG